GATGTGCCACATGGACGATTTTTGATCGTTTTGATATGCCACATGGATGTGTGTTTTGACGTTTTGATATGCCACATGAACGTTTTTTTTGGACGTTTTGATATGCCACATTGACGGTTTTTTTTTTTGACGTTTTGATATTCCACATGGACGGGTTTTTTTTGACGTTTTGATATGCGACATGGACGGGTTTTTGGACGTTTTGATATGCCACATTGACGGTTTTTTTTTTTGACGTTTTGATATGCCCCATGGACTTTTTTTTTGACGTGTTGCTATGCCACATGGACGGGTTTTTGTTTGACGTTTTGATAAGCCACATGGAAGGTTTTTTTGACGTTTTGATATGCTACATGGACGTTTTTTTTGACGTTTTGATATGCCACATGAACGATTTTTTGGTCGTTTTGATATGCCACATGGCCGTTTGTTTTGACGTTTTGATATGCAACATGGACTTTTTTTTTGACGTGTTGATATGCCACATGGTCGGGTTTTTGTTTGACGTTTTTTTATGCCACATGGACGGTTCCTTTTTGATGTTTTGATATGCCACATGGGCGTGTTTTTTTTTGACGTTTTGAAATGCCACATGGACGGGTTTTTGTTTGACAATTTGATGTGCCACATGGACGATTTTTGATCGTTTTGATATGCCACATGGATGTTGTTTTTTTTCGACATTTTGATATGCCACATGGACGGGGTTTTTTTACGTTTTGATATGCCACATGGACGGGTTTTTTTTGATGTTTTGATATGCCACATTGACGTGTTTTTTTTTGACGTTTTGTTATGCCACATGGACGGTTTCTTTCTGATGTTTTGATATGCCACATGGACGGGTTCTTTTTGACGTTTTGATATGCCACAACATGGACGGGTTTTTGTTTGACGTTTTGATAAGCCACATGGAAGGTTTTTTTGACGTTTTGATATGCTACATGGACGTTTTTTTTGACGTTTTGATATGCCCCATGGACGGTTTTTTTGGACGTTTTGATATGCCACATGGATGTTGTTTTTTTTCGACATTTTGATATGCCACATTTGATATGCCACATGGACGAGTTTTTTTTGACGTTTCAAAATGCCACATGAACGTTTTTTTGACGTTTTGATATGCTACATGGACGTTTTTTTTGACGTTTTGATATGCGACATGGACGGGTTTTTGGACGTTTTGATATGCCACATGGATGTTGTTTTTTTTCGACATTTTGATATGCCACATTTGATATGCCACATGGACGAGTTTTTTTTGACGTTTCAAAATGCCACATGGACGTTTTTTTGACGTTTCAAAATGCCACATGAACGTTTTTTTGACGTTTTGATATGCCATGACGTTTCAAAATGCCACATGGATGGTTTTTTTTGACGTTTTGATATGCCACATGGACGTGTTTTTTTTTGACGTTTTGATATGCCACATGGACGGGTTTTTTTTGACGTTTTGATATGCCACATGGACGGTTTCTTTTTGACGTTTTGATATGCCACATGGACGGTTTTTTTTTGATGTTTTGATATGCCACATGGACGTGTTTTTTTTGACGTTTTGATGTGCCACATGGACGGGTTTTTTGACGTTTTGATATGCCACATGGACGGTTATTTTTTGACTTTTTGATGTGCCACATGGACGTGGTTTTTTTGACTTTTTGTTATGCCACATGGACGTTTTTTTTGTACGTTTTGATATGCCAAATGGACGTTTTTTTTGGACGTTTTGATATGCCACATGGACGTTTTTTTTGGACGTTTTGATATGCGACATGGATGGGTTTTTTGGACGTTTTGATATGCAACATGGACGGTTTTTTTGGACGTTTTGATATGCCACATGGATGTTTTTTTGGACGTTTTGATATGCCACATGGATGTTTTTTTTGGACGTTTTGATATGCCACATGGACAGTTGTTTTGTACTTTTTGATATGCCATATGGATGTTGTTTTTTTTCGACATTTTGATATGCCACATGGACGAGTTTTGTTTTGACGTTTTGATATGCCACATGGACGGTTTTTTTGGACGTTTTGATATGCCACATGGACGGTTCCTTTTTGACGTTTTGATATGCCACATGGACGGTTCCGTTTTGACGTTTTGATATGCCACATGGACGGGTGGTTTTTTTGACGTTTTGATATGCCACATGGACGTGTTTTTTTTTGGACGTTTTGATATGCCACATGGACAGTTGTTTTGTACTTTTTGATATGCCACATGGATGTTGTTTTTTTTCGACATTTTGATATGCCACATGGACGAGTTTTGTTTTGACGTTTTGATATGCCACATGGACGGTTCCTTTTTGACGTTTTGATATGCCACATGGACGGTT